AACCCTGAGCCGGTGAGATTTGAACCGCTGAGCTGCTGATCTAGCAGTTAGCCTGCAGTGCTGCATTTAACCACTGCGCCACCTCGGCTCTTTTAATATCTAATAAGAACACTGGCAATGTAATAAATCTCTTACCATCTCCCGCCTTCTTTCTTCTTCCCTCTCAGCTTCTTTTTCATATTCTCTAGCTTTCTTCCGTTCTCTGATTTCCCAGTTTTTAAGACGCTGAAATCACAAAACTTTTTCATTATTTCACCGTTCACCCAGGAATTGAAAAAATAGCTCCATATTTCATTTTGGAAACAGCAAAATCATCCATAATTAATTTAAACCAAATAATTATATATCAGCCTCAGCTTTGTATTCCAGCAGAAAAAGAATGTACAAATTGTTACAAGAATATTGACAGCATATGCAGAGATTCATTCAAGGGAAATGATATTTGATGATATCTAAAATATAGGTCTGAATATAAATATCCAATATTTATCTTAGACCTCATTCATAAGTGGAGTTTCTTCACTGAAAAGGAGCATTACCCTGGAAAACATCATGAGATATGGTATAGTAGGCAACCCCTCCTCCCATTTGAATTAGGAACCTTTCAGCAACTCTTTTAAATACCTCTTGATAAGCTGCTTCCTTTTCCCGTAGTTTCCTTTCCAGTTTGCGCCGTTCGTAAGCATCTTCTTCATCTTCTTCTCTATCTCTTTTCTTGTCCTTTTCTCGTTCCCGCTCCCGTTCTCTTTCCCTCTCCCGCTCTCTCTCCCGTTCCCTCTCCCGTTCTCTTTCCCGTTCTCTCTCTCTGTCTCTGCTTTTCTCTCTGTAGAAAACACAGCAACAAAAGAATATTTGGGCCTGATTAAATAGTTTAACCCCAAACCCCACCAAAGTAACACTAAATGTCATATTTAATGACTTAGAGAGTCCTGTAAACAATAAGAAACATCTATTAAACCCATACATACCACAGGATCACTCAAACTGTAACAATTTCACTTTTTAGAGTTAGTATTTGCATGGAAATATTTAGGTTAAATCAGAGGTTCAAGTGAGAAAACTGTTGAGGAGATATATACTAGCTGAACAGTTTTACATTCTCTCAGGTATAGGTTTGGGGGCTTCAGTCATTGAATATCCCAGTCAACCAGCACATTGGACATTTGTCTCTGCATGGGCTTAGAGATGAATGAAGTGGCCAGGCTAAAAGCCAATTAAGAGGAAGTTCCCAAATTGTGTCACCAATCAACTGTGAATTGGAAAGAAAATTGAATCAAAGGGGGACACAGATGAGAGACATGTTAGACTACTAGGAACAGATCATCAGAAAAATTAGAAGAAGAAAAATTCAGGAAATTTAAGGGGAAATAGCTATGAACTGTCAACATAAACAGATCATGGGAAGCAATGCGGATTGGAACAGTAAAGCCATAAATTAATTTATAATCTAAAGAAGCTACAGAGTGGAAGTATGTGAACCCAACTACTAGAGTTTGTAAACTATGCTTTACAACAAAGATCCAGAACCTAAAGCTCTAAGTTGAAGCCTACAAAGAGCTGTTAAAGTAATTTTTAATATGACAGGAGTAGAAATGTATTAAATACATAACAGACAATAACCCAATTAGCTATATTTTAATTAAGTGTAAAATGTAAGTTAACTGAATCAAATTATGTTTTGTACACCCACACTATTTTTGGAAAATAGGATATCTTTGAATGCCTAGTTCCCTAGATTGAGCTGGGAAGAACATCTAGTCCATATCTGTACATTTGTACATTTCCAGCTACTTTGATTCTGTCTTGCATATCCACTTCATATTTGACTATTATGTTATGGAAAGCTGGAAAACCTTGAAAGGGAGATAGTAGCAGATCCTCCATTTCATTGGAAAGAAAAGTTTAGATGATGAGAGATCGCAACCCTATACCTGATATCTTTCTTTTGAAGTGAACGTTTTCTGTTGTGATTTCACCCTTTAATTTGCATTCTGTTTGATAACAAAACATATCTTTCTGACTCTTACATTCTGCCCCATTCCCATGTCAATACCCAAGGTACAAAGAATGATAAATCATGATAAAGAATATTTATTTTAAAAGAACAGATTTTTTCCCCCTGTGTCAGGATCAGACAAGGGTCTTTCCCTACACAGTGGTAGGATTCCCCATCCATTCTCCCCTTTAAAGATATCAGGGATTGACCAGCATCTCCATTATTTCTTATCCATTTTCAACAAAAAGGTAGACATTGGGAAAATAATCTTGGAACAATAAAAGTGTATAGAAATCTGGATGACCCTGGATAGCTTACGGTGTTAAAAACAGTAAAATTATGCCATTTACTGTATACATTTAGAATATTTGCCTTAAAAAAGAAACATTACCAAATTATTAAGTCATTATTATATCACAAAATTTACCTAGATCTGCTCCGATCTTTATTCCGGTCTGAGCTTCTTTCACGGTCTCTGTCTCGATCTCTTTCCCTGTCCCGGTCTCTGTCTTTAGTGCGATCCCGATCTCTATCCCGTTCCCGCTCCCGTTCCTTCTCCTTTTCTCGTTCACGTTCCCTCTCTCTCTCTCTTTCACGCTCCCTTCTTTCTCTTTCACGTTCGCGTTCCCTCTCTCTTTCACGCCGTTCTTTTTCAATTTCTTGTCTTTCTTTCTCTTTTTTGCCTTTTTCCTCCTCCAATTTCTAGAAATCAAAAGGATTTTCCAAGTTAGTTTGTAGCTAGATTCGGAAGCCCCACCCCACAATTCTAAAATCTGGTAACAAGAATATCAAGATCAAACACTTGTATAGTTTGCTTTCAATTCATATGGATGAAAACAAAATTTTGCATTCATAAGATAGATTTCGTGCAAGTTATTTACCTAGCAGGCCAGCAATCTCCAACCTTGAATAGAAAAGCAATGCTTGTCTCCTCCGTACTGATTATTACATGAATGCATTGCCTATAATAGTTCAGAGAATGAAAAATACTTTGACCCTAAACATGATTACATTTTTATGTAGCAAAATTCATCCAATTCACATAGATGATTTAGTGATATTAAAGGAAGCTTAATATCTGATTATATCACACCTGGGTAAATTAAGTTTATTCTCTCTAAACTTGGAGAATAAAGCATTTTCTAATTTCATAGTGGAGTATATGACTGTATGGTTTCAAACATCTTTACAATCACAATACTTGTACTGTGTTTAAAAAAATCACTGATATGATTCTCATTCAAAGGGTCTGCAGGAAGGAAAAGGTTGGAAATCACAACGAGATTAAAAGATTGTATGTTACTGAATTTTTATAAAAGTACATTTCTTTATTGAAAAAGTCAACACTGCTACTAAAACACCCATGAAGACAACAGAAAAATTAAATCTCATTAATAGATAAATCCATCCTTGGAAGCAATTGGTGTGGGTTAACTTACAGATGCTGTGCTAGGACATGGACCGCCAACACTGGATTAACCTTGCCTACAAGCTATATTTCTGGGAGGAAGAGCAAGTACATGGTTCACAAGTAAACCAAAAAAAAAAAAAAAAAGCATAAGCCAATTATCAGCCTGATGGATGCCAGAACCTTATGGGAATGATTCTTCCTTGTGCACGTGTTGTTCCTAGAGGGATGCCATAGAGCAGGGATGTCAAACTGGCGGCCTGTGGGCATGATGCATTACACACAGGCCATGCCCACCCCAGCTCCATGAATGGGGGAAACATCGTGAAAAGCCACATGATGGCAATGTGACAGTGCGAGTTTGACACCAGTGCCATAGAACATAACAGTATCATTTTCCCACTTGTTCTCTCCTTGGTACACACATTTAATGTACAAGCTATTTTCAGAAGGGAAGGCTTGCATATACCTCTCACATCTCCATCCAGCCTGCCTTCAACACTTGGTAAAGGAAATATTCAATTTGTATTCTCTGAATAACTGAAGAAAATGGATGGGAAGGTAAGAGGAACATATAAATTTTCCATTCTGAGGAATGGCCTGACTCAGAGTAATTGATGAACTTTGCTATTTCTTCTGGAGAGCCCTCTGTACAAGGACCCAGCACTAGTATAAGGAAGGATCACACCCTATGTGTAACTGATGCATTTTAAATAATGGAAAGAGCAAATTCATTCCTTTTGGCATCAATTTTACCATCAGCAAAATACCATATAAATTAGGACAACAAAATGTGCACATATTTCTCTCTTTCAACAAATAATTTAAAACAATTTGAAAAACAATCTTACCTGTCAGATAGTGTTCTGGGGCACACTCATGGACCAGAGAACCCAAACAAGATCATAGTAATATAACTAAGAAACAAGAGATCAATATATCTAACCATGATGCTAAATAGTATTAAACATAAAATGCTGGCACAATGGTGTTAGATACATTGAACTCACAAAGGAAAGGATATTTAGAATGATAGAAAACAGCCATTGTAAGGAGGGAAAGATGAAAGTGCACAACATGTGGGAACATTACAATCTAATGTTTAAATGAAGTGCTCTCATATAATTTCATCAATTAGGGCATATTTATATATGCTGTATCACAGAACTTACCTCCAATTTTGTATACTTTTACAGAAAAGTTTAGATACTGGAATGGGCAATACTTACTTTATTTTTAGCTGTTCCAATATTTTAGATTATTTTAGTTGTTCCAATAAAATGCTATTGGTTATGCTGCTGGTTGTAATAAAAATAATCATCAAAATTTATCTGAACTTAAGATGCTCTTAAGAAAAAGAGCAATTTTAAATGTCGGCCTTTAAGATGCCAAATAGTAAATCAAGAGTTATTTCCATACAAATTTGAATAGGCTGCTTCCATGTAAACAAAAAATAAATAAAGAGGTAAAAATGAAATGGAGAAAGAATTAAAGATATGCTGAAGTAATGAGCAAAGAGTATAGACAGAACAATAATAAAATCTTACCTTAAGTTCTCTTCAGACTCATCTGTGCTGTAAATGGACGCCCCCTGCAATGCTGACACCCTAACAGTCTGATTATTATTTTGTAAACTCTAACCAAAAAACATGCAAAGGTTCACTGTGCTCGCTAGCCAGCCCCTTTTTAATCATCCCACCCAATATATAAAATGGCCATTTTATATTAGAATTAATTTCATCTATTTTAAAAAATAAATTAAAAATATTTTCCAATAAGATAGATCACAGGCAATAAATATGCCCAATTGCTTCTGAAACAGGAAGCATATTTTGCTTTTGTTTTTGAACCACATCATTTAATTGCCTTTTAGTTACTTGTTGGGGCTTGGAAATAAAACCATATTTCGTTATGACCAGTTTCACACATCTTCGGAATATTTATCCTCAGGTTCTCATTCCCAAGTAATATTGGAATATTGTGCACTGCCAACAACATATAACTATTTTGTACTTAAAAGTTAGAAATGCAAATAAGCATGACCTGTTACCAGAATGTACATTACCGTTTTGTACCTTAATACCGCCGTTCAATGTTATTAGCAAACAGAATTCTCATGTCAGGAGTGAACATATTTGCTGGCATGGAGTAATCCAGCCTTTATGCACAGTTATTATTCCATGAAAGCTAAACATCAAGATATACACTGCATGCATAGCTTGCACTTCTCCACCCTTGCACCACCCTCAACCAGAACACATTAATAAATTCACAGTATCAGAAACTTCTGTAGGTGGGAATCCTGAGGTAGAATTTGCTGTGCAAACACATTTCCAAGCCAGTTACCCCTTTGCATATTTTTCTGAGGGGGCATCCATAAATAATAAAAAAACAGAAGCTCATACTTACATCCTATTCCATGTTACTTTCCAAGCTGTGTTTTTCATCTTGCATTAGTCACCATATGATCTCTATCATAATGGTGGGGGTCAATGAATAGATTAGCTTTATGGGAATTTACAGTTCTTCCATGCATCTAAATTTTGGTAAAGTCTGATAAATAATACCTAATTTATTTCACCCCCATTCTCAATTCAGCTACTAAATTTAATCTTAAATTTAAACTAAGCAATAGGGCTTAGTAATAACGCGAGTATGAATTATGTTTTACAATTACCTGACTATTATGGGAATCAAAATGTGTTTCCAAGGGCAGCCCAATTTAGTTATTTGGTCTTATGTGTTATTTTAGCCATTTTGGGTTAATTTTAAAACAGAGTAGAAAGATAATTTTTTTAAAAATGTATTTGTATTAAGAGAGAAGATTGCAATGCAGTAAGTAATATGAGAAAACTAACTAAAATATTAGACCACTGCAGTGAGAATGATTAGATACACATTATTCCTGCTATAAAGATGAACAAATGACATGTAATGTCCTTGCAAATTTTCTAAAGGGTGAGGGAATCGAAACTGGGTTTTACAATAACCTAATTTTGCATAAACTGCAAAAAAAGTATATTACCTTGTGTGTATCTCTGAATTTACTAATCTCTCGTGATATCAGGTCCCTTTTATCTTCTTCCATTTCTATAGCATTTATATCCTCCTGTAAAGGAAAAAAGAGGTGGGGGACAGAACAAGAAATAAAATATTAAAACCCATGCACAAAGGAATGGGAGAACCAAAAGAAAACCTGAAGGTTAGATGTTTTGTACCAGTCTTGTAAGAGATAAATAAAGGGCTTCTGCAGTACCAAACCTCACAGTCTGATGTTAAATGAATGAAAAAAAATTAGATGGACACGAGTCACAAATCTGGTAACTAGCAGTAAATAAAGTCATTGTCAAAGCCTACGATGTAAACGAACCTTGGTGATGAGTGGATAAGGTATCAGTGGGGCCACTGGAAATCTGCGGAAAATCTGCGGAAAAATCCACGGAGATTTTTTTTTAAAAAAATAGATTGCACACTACTCTGGAAAAAAACAATGTTCTGTATGTTGGTAGAACAAGCAATATTGTATTGCTGTGAATTTTGGTCTGACTCAGCAAAATTACAAAGAACCTCGCTAATTCTCCTTTTACTGAACTACTTTTCAGCAAAGGTTTATTGGGTGCCACCTCACCCAGTACTTCTCCATTTAAAATTGTAGGATACAATTTTAGTATTTTCAAACTAAAGAAATCTTGCAAGCTAAACTATGCTTGTTTACAAGTGGCCAGTGCCTTTTGAAATTTCAAACTTGATTTTGTACTTTACTCGCTAATTCGCAAAATTTAATGATCTCAAGGGGGTTCCCAAGTTACTGCAAATTAGCGAGGTTCCCCACATCTGAAATCAAGAGTCAGATTTGATTTGCCATTTGTTTCCCCACACTCACATTTTTCTCCCACATTATCCCTCATCTCATCTTTTCAACCACAGAACGGGCAAGGGAACCAAATTTGACCATAAGCATTCAACAAAGGAGACAAAAGTGCCTCTAACCCAACTTTACATGGCACACACTTCAATCTTTTCTCCCCCAACATATACAGAGCTTCAGTTCCACTTGCTAAGGGAGAAGGATGTACTTCCATCTTCTCAACAGGTGAAAAGAACAGAGCACACTTAAAGTTCAACTACATAAGCAATGTGCAATTTGAAATAATCCTAATCTAAACATTAGGAAATTCAATATTCAATTAATGTAAAGTGGGATAACAAGAAGTGATTTTATTAACACTTATCTTTTTCAGTACCATTATAAGAGTTGCTGTATATTCAGAAGATAATCCACCATATGGATGAAATTTAGGAGAATGAGCATCTTTAAGGAATTTAGATAAACAAAAACTTCAGCACAAGGCTTACTCAGATTAATTGGAGGTTAAACATAAGAGGAAAGCAAAAGGAAATGTGTAACAACTCTGATTGTTTTTTGGTACTGATTCTCAAATCCAATAGTGGTAAAAGAAAATTAAACTTAGCAGGAGGGCTGCAAACTCAAGCCAAATCCCATCAGTTAACTCTAGTTGTGACTCAGTTAAAGTCGAGCATGCACATATTTGCAAAGTATTTTCTCCCAGAGTGAATTTTATTTTTAGTACAATTATGACTAGGTTTTTCCACAGAAGGTGGAATATGGCATTCCATGCCATATGTTAACACTTAAAAAATCTGGAAGACAAATGGCTTAATTGCCAAATAATAACAAACAATTTTATAACAGCATAGCTTTCCCCCAAGAATAACAAACAGCTTCTCACTTATGTGCACAAACATAATCAAAACAGGACATCAAAGAAGGTACTTTGTGATTATGACATCAGTGTGAACCCCTATGGCCCAGAGCTTTTTGGCCTTTTAAAATAACAAATGTTAATAGGCAGGACTTTTACGTTTAAGATGTCAAAACACCTCTCCATCATAAAGAACAATCATCAATTATTTCAATAAATGAATTTTGAAGGGATGAAAGGCTGAATCAAACCTGCAGCTCCAAGTCTGGGCATTCAACCCTTGTGTATACACACCTACATCATCCACAGGGTTTGGCATTTAGAAATGATTTAATTTCAGTATGAAACATGTAAGTGCTGCTAACATCAAGGCTTGTTGATTTGTGGTTTCATCAGATGCTTTGAGCTTATGTATGGCACAAAGTTTGGCCCTTATTATAAGGAGAGATGAAGTAAATCTGTTTGTGTCCAAAATCAAAACACATACGTCCTCCTTCTTTTCCTTTTTCTTCTTCCTGGGATGAGAATCAGACTCTTGAGAGGGAGCATTGAGCTCGCTGGAATATTCCCGAATTAACACTTCAATTGCCCCTTTAATTAGCTGGTCTCTTCTCTTTGCTTCTTCATCCAGGGCTTCATCATCATCGGCTGCAGATTCTGGCCTGGAGTTCTAAGAAACAATATAAATAATGTCATAATGGAAATGGCAAATAAACCAATCTTTTATATTTTTATCCTCTTACTTGCCCTACATAGGTAAGGCAACATAACCATTACAAGTAGTCCTTGACTTGCAAGAGTTCATTTGTGACCAAAGTTACAACACTGAAAAAAGTGACTTATTACTGTTTTTCACACCCACAATCATTGCAGCATCCCCATGGTTTCATCATCAAAATTCAGATGTTTGGCAACTGGTTTATATTTACCACTGCTGCAGTGTCCTGGGGTGAGGTGATCAGCTTTTGTAACCTTCTGACAAGCAGAGTCAATTTGGAATCCAGATTCACTTAACAACCATGTTACTAACTTAACAAATGCAATGATTCACTTAACTGTGACAAGAAAATTTTTAAAATGGGGCAAACTCACTTAATAAATGTTTCACTTACCAACATAAATTTTGAGCTCAAAATTGGTCGTAACTCGAGGACTACCTGTATTGCATTAAAACTATCAAGCAATGAACATGAATGAAACAATATCTATACAAGGTTAGAATAGAAAACATTGCTATTGCTATATCTATATATATATGGATATTGCTATCACAATGTTTTCCTGTGGAAAGGTAAATAAGTCACACGGCATATGCTCTTAGATGCCATTGCCAAAAACAGCCTCAGTGATCTTTGGTGAGTGAGGAGCAAAAGCCAAAGAAGGAGTTGTTCATAACTGGCCATGAAAACCTAACATCCTTTAGCTGCTTTGCCACACAGCTGTAAAACAAGTCATAGATTCCTTACAATATCAAAACTTTTTTTTTATCTTCCCTGCTGACAGAAAACACGCATACGGAAACTTTGCAAAAATTCTTTTAATTAAAGTTGGGCCTTATAAAGTATACACTCTGAAAACAAGATTAAGTGATGTGCATTTGCATCTTTCCATGCGGCAAATAATATAATTTTAATCTTCTCTGTATGGTGATAATCCAAGTTAATATAGGTAGTTCTCAACCTACAATTCATTTAGTGAAAAACACTCATAAGTCATGTTTTTCAGTGCCATTGTAACTTCATTTTTCCACGCTTATGATTCCTGCAGTATCACCATGGTCACATGATCAAAATTCAGACTCTTGGCAACTGGCTCATATTTGTGAGTTATCGTGCCCTAGGGTCATGCGATCACCTTTTGCAACTTTCAATGGGGAAGGCAGATTCACTTAACAGCCATGTAACCAACTTAACAAATGCAGTGATTCACTTAACAACTATCTTAAAATGGGGCAAAACTCACTTAACAATTATCTTGATTAGCAACAGAAATTCTGGGCTCAATTGTGGTCTTAAGGACTATCTGTATAGTCCAACACTATTTTAATAAAGCAGAAATTACAGAAACGGTTTCATATGAACCTTGTCACAACCTTGCATGATAAAATGTCTTAGAGCTTTAATTTTAAATCTATAAAACTTGATTTCCCAATAATGTGTAATCATAGCATATATTAATAAATTTGATGTTATGTACATGTAATTTATTTGTAGTCTATTGTAAATTGTCTCTAAACATTGCTAAAAGATCATTTTGAAGAAAGTTATATAACACCTGAAACAAGTCTTCCTGTTTTTCCTTCAACTCACATTATTTAGTTTTTAAAACATTTAATACATTCTAACATTTCGAATGAAATTGCTTACAATTACAAATATAAAAAAACTGAATTAAACAATTTAATTTTTTCAATAATTCCTTATAAACAGCCAGATGTTCATATTCCTAAAGGTGACAATGCAACCCTGATTGCAATTCTAACAGCAAACAAAATCTGATTATGAAAATAAATTATTAATGTATACGTTAATTATAAAGAAATATTGTGCCCCATTCAATATTCTTAAAATGCTATCTCAAATTCTTTAAAATAAACAGTAACAAATGATTGGTGACCTTAAAAAAAACTATTGCTAAAACTTTTCTTTAGAGAGAAAACCAAAGGGACTCTCACCTTAAATTCCAAGACAGTTTATCCAGTCAAATGCCAGGTGAAGAAACAAAGAACAGAAAAAGGAAAGTCTCACTAAGCAGTAGTAGCTAAGAAGCATGGAAAGGAGGAGGGAAGGGATTAGAGCTGACAGAGAAGCTGTCATATTAAGAACAGCTTGAAAAGAACTAACAGGGAATTGGATAGGTGATAATAAAATAATTTTGCAAAGTGAAAGTGCTATTCAGAACTAATTTGATTAATTCTTTTCAAAATAACTATGCTATAACTCATAAAAACAAAAGGCTTAAATTCCTTAAACAAAGAATGTATGTGATCTCTTTTTCCTAAATACTAAAAGAATTATGTCAAACCACTGTCATTTTTAATTCTGTGGACAACAACTGTATTCAAAAGGGCATGAACATGGGAAGGGATTTGGCCTACAGCTTCCAAATGCAAATCCCTAACATACATTCATGTTTGTAAAGTAAAAAACAAATTCTATAACATTTAGCAAATGTTACAGAATTTATTATAACTCTTGATCATGAAAACTGGAAAACAAAGGAGTACTGTGGAGCTTAATCTACAAAAGAACCATAAACTCAACGCAACAGACTGAACAGAAACAAAGCAACAAAAGAAGTATAGGGAAAGTATGTCTGTCAATTATTTTCTATTTTATATATTTCTTAATTTGTATACATACCCCATTGGATGCCCTCTTTTTTGCTTTCCATTCATCCAGCTGAGCCTTTGTTTTGGCATCAACTTTAACAAGTAGCTTCTTTTCTCCAATCTGGAGATCATGTAGTAATCTCAGTGCACGTAGTGTGGATTCGGGCTCTTTATATTCACAAAAGCCAAAAGCTAGAAATAATTGAGAATTTAGAACATAAATTTAGAAGTCATACAGGCAAATGACTGTATCGACAATTACAGGACTGCTTTTCAATACAAATTATTTTTTGTGTTATCAAGACTTCTATAAAGTACATTTTTCAATATTCAGAAAAAAATTTCTGTTCAATCTTATACATTCAAGTGTTTTAAGTTAAGAGCATCTATTCTCTGTTACTGTATCTTAAGTAAAAGCCCAAAATAGTTGATCAAGCGCAATAATATATTTCAAAATCACATAGTGATTTATTATAAAGATAGTAACTGGAACAGATGAAATATTGTCACCAATATTTGGCAATATAAGGCAAACCACTGAAGACAACAGCATTATGCAAATACAGTTCAGTAAGCCAATTGCAATTATCAAATAAGTATCATCATGTTTCTTTCTCACTACTATTGACAGCGAGGACTGAAAGCCCTCCCTTTCACCTTTTAATCAATTTTTAACCTTCCCTGCTTCTTTCAAATTTTACACACTATTTTCTATGCTATTAATATTTTATTGTACACTGCCCAGAGTCCCTCTGTGAGGAAGATGGGCACTTAAATATGACAATAAAATAAATGAATATGAGAAAATTAACAAACCTTGTATGTACATATATATGAATATATATGAGTGTGTGTGTGTGTGTGTGTGTATGTATGTCTGTATAAGTATGTATGTATTCGAACCTGGGCTGTTTTTACATGTTAGGCAGTTGTATTAGCCGCTAAGCCACAAACTCTCCTACCTTAGCTCAAATCCCACTAAGGGTATGGCTAGCTGATGAGAGCTAAATAGCTTGAAATAGGTTTAGGTTTAGGTTTAG